TTTACCTTAAAAAACAGAAAGTCTCCTTTATTTTTCAGACTTACTTTGATTCTTTTTTTTCTTTTTTCTCTCTCCCACCTCGCCTTCGCGTGCCTTGTGTGCACTGTCACTACTTTTCCTACCTATTCTGATGTTTACCTGTTTCTTAGTTTCCGAGGCAGCGGGAAGGTGGTGCGGAATGTCCGAGGGAGCGGGAGGATGCACCGCGTGTGACGAGCGAGGCGCTTCCGTGCGGCGCCGCCTGGGGGCGGCAGCGCCTCATCACATCCCCTCCGTCCCTCCTCGATCCCCCCCTATCCCTCCTCGGTCCCCGCTTCCCTCTCCTGGGTCCTCCAGTTCCTCCTCGGCCCACCCGTTTCTCCCAGGTTTCCCCTGTACCTCTTCGATCTCGCCGCGTCCTTCCCGCCGCTCTCAGCCTCTTGAGGCTCTGCAACATCCCACGTACCGACCGGTGGTGAGCAGTGGCTCCCACCGAAATGTGGAAGGGATCACCGAAGGGTCACACCAAGTCTGACCCTTCCTCCCTGTCTGTCCGTCCTACCGTCTGTCCGTCTGTTCTGGGGAGAGGGCACCGCTCCACAGGTTGGTTTCTTTGTACTTTCTCTTAATAATAATAATGCTAATGAGGATTATTAATAATCTTATTTATCATGGTAAGAATAACAGGTGTAATGTAATATACTATTTGAGGGTTGGGGATTTTTGAAATTATATCTATCTCTCCGGAGGGAGAGAGGAGTGGGCATCTATCCGTTCAGAGCAACTTAAAAAGTAGACAGAAACCCATATGTCGGGATGAAAAACCGGTATTAACACGTCCAGAAGGGGTGGGGGCGCGGAAGAGTGTTTTTCGTAGTTGTTGTTTTCCCGAATGCTGGAGGTTTTACTCTGGTGAAGTTCGCTGGCGGTGGCGAGGAAGCGGGGGAGTCTCCATCATCCTGTCCGCGTGTCTTCTCTGGATGGCGCTGTCTCCTGCCAAACTACACCAAAGAGAGTTTTCCCTGATCTGGAGGTATGTCCCTACGTCCTGCTCTCCTTCCCGTTCTAGTTTTGGGCAACCTACCGGTGAGGAACCGGTTGTTTTTTTCTGGAAGTAGGAGGAAAAAGGCCATGTGCTGCTGGTGCCTGGAGGGAAGCTGTCCGCGCAGAACGAGGAGGCTTCCTCACCTGGCAGGGACTACAGCTGGGAACCCTTCCTCAACACTTCTTTGCGTTTAGTGACCCAAGTTCTCCCTTCTGACCAATATCTGTCCCTAACAGCAGAGCCGCAGAGCTCAGAGCACCACAGGTTACGGGAGTGTTTTGCAGCACCGCAGGTTCACCTACCTGCTCCCTGCCCTAGCGGGGATTGCAAATTTACTCCTACACAGTGTTGATTACACCTCTTGATGGGCCCCCGGCTGCAGATCCACGATCACTGTAGGGTGAACCACTCCTTAGCCTCCTCGGTCTTTATCGAGTCTAGTTGTTCATTTGGGAAAAGAAAAAAAAAAAAAAAAAAAAAAAAAAAAAAAAAAAAAAAAAAAAAAA